AATTTGTTGCTCAAATTCAATTATATTTTTCCAAGAAAAATAAAAGTTTGCTTTAATCAAATTATCATTAAATTGCTCAAATTAAATTAAAAATGTAGCTCCATACATTTAAAATTAGGTATTATAAAAATAATCCAGCATGCACTAAAAATAAAACTATTTTTAGAAATTCATCTATTCAATTCACTACATTAACAAAGGAAAAATACAATCGTCTGAATACATTAAGGCAACGTATTTAGAAAAATTTAATACATATTAATGCATCAACTCTGAGAATAAGATAGATTGCATTATCCTGAACTTTCTCAGTTGAATCATATGAGCATCAGTCTCTTGAAGGGGTGCTTCTGGGATTGACTTTTACACTGATTTGTTGGAGGGAAAATAATAAGGCATTGAAAGTGTTTTTGCAATGATTATTTGCAACTAGAAAACTAGCAGATATGTAAAAAAATCCCTGGAGTTGGAACTAATAAAAATTAAAGGGTAAATAAAATACTCTGTGATATTGCACATGGCTATATTTTCTCTTTTTTTCCCCATATAGGAGTACTGCTATTTTTTCAGCCATTGATTAAGCTGATTGAATTGGACATGAACTCCACATAACTTTTTCACTTTCACTATCACTATCCTCCCGTTGTTCATCGATTTGCTCGAGCGGGTCCCATAACATTGTGAAATTTGTTACTGTTTTTGGCATATCGAATACGTCACGGGTAGCTTGCCAGGCTTTGCCATGTGGGCGAGATACTCTCGGTAGCTTGCTGGGCTCTCTGAGAGGGGCGGAGGAAGTGAACTTGGGTCGGCCATTTTGCCTGTGTGCAAGGCAAATGCCCTACCCGCTGTGCTATCACTCCAGCCCACATTACTCTTTAAATTTTTAAAAAAATTTTAATTGAATATCCGTGAGATGGACCATTACGAAACTGTTCATAATTGGGTTTCAGTCATACAATGATCCAGCACCCATCCCTTCACCAGTGCATTTCCCACCACCAACCCCTAACACCCCACTCACCCCCTCTATGGGAGGCACTTTCCTTCTTTCTCTTTCTCTCTCTCTCTCTTTCTCTCTCTCTCTCTCTCTCTCTCTCTCTCTCTCTCTCTCTCTCTCTCTCTCTCCTTTTCCTTTTGCATTGTGGTTTGCAGTACGGGTGTTAAGAGGTCATGGTGTTTGTTCAGGAAATTCAGTATTTTTATCTGACAGTAAGGCTGCAGTAGCTTGTCAATTGGATAGCCACTTTGGAGTGTCGATGTGACTGCTGAGGCTTCTGGAAGTACAGGAAAGTGGGGGAGCCCGACCAAGAAAACCTGGAGATTTCAGTCACAAAACCTTGCAAACCCAAATTTTCAGCAGATTATATCTTGGTGGAGTCAGGCCAGGGGTATAGCAGTGATTTTGGATTGTGGAAACAAGCGGCTGCCGGGGACCTCTGCTTGGGTAGGTCCCCAGGCCAGCCAGCCCCCCTCCAATTTACCCCGGTCTGTTCAGCCATGTGCGGGTCCTAGTTTAACTGTGGCTTTTGATCTCTTTCAAAATTTATTCATGGGTTTCTGAAGCAAGGCTGGTAGTAGAGCTTGGTGGCACTGGAATTTGTTTGTGGGGGTGACTTCCAGTGCTTCCAGGAGTATTGGGAAGTGGGGGGAGGTAGCCCATCCCAACTCTGAGAAAGCCTGGAGATTTCAGTTGGGACCCACATACCCAAGTTTTCAGCAGATTATTTCTTGGTGAGGTCCATCCTGAGATGTGGAGTCAGGCCAGTGGTATGGTGGTGATTTTGGATTGTGAAAGCAAGTGGCTGCTATAATTGCATCTATTCAATACTACATGGAGATTCTTAAAAATGTAAGAACCAAGTGCTGAAAGGAGATAAAGTGATATACGTGATAACCTGTCAGTAACTGTTGCAGACCATAATACCTAAAAAGAAACAGTATAGAGAGGAGAGAGGAGAAAAGTGTGTGTGTTGGGGTGTTGGGGGGTGTTGTGGAGGGAAACTGGGGTCATTGATGGTGGTAAATGTATACTGGGGAAGGGATGGGGGTTGGAACATTGTGTGACTGAAACCCAATTATGAACAACTTTTAAACTGTATCTCAGTGATTCAATAAAAAGAAAAAAAATGTAAGAATTTGGAAAGAAAGGATAATTCATAAGTAATATAGTTGTATATGTAGAAAATAAAGAGAAAACTTAAATGAGAAATTATTGGAACAAATTAGTTCAGTGAAGTTGACATATATAAAGTTAATATATAAAAGTTATGATCTTGTAATCCAACAACAGCTAGAATCCTTTTAAAAATACCACTGCAATAGCAACTAAAATAATAGTAATATAGGAATAATTCTAACAAAAGATGACCATTATGGATTATCACAGTTTATCAAAGCAGTAAAAAATAAGGCCTTGAGTAGTGGCTATTTACCAATCAGTAAAGGAGTATTTTCATATTTCATCAATTGACTTTACACCAGACTTGCTGGTGTAAATATTTTTCTAACTTACCGGTTCCATTTTTCACTGAAATCCTTTAGGCTATTTAACAAATAATTTAAAATATATCAATAATATCACATTGTAAAACTCATCACACTATTAAGAAATATTGGTATCCTTTTAAAGCACCTCATTTCATAGTGATAAATTTTACATTTACATACCTTATTATAAATTTTGCTAGCCACATCCAATTAAAATTTTTTAAAGGGCCTTTTAAATTTTTTGATGTTTTGTATTTTTTTAATTTAATAGTGTAGGAGTACTGCTATTTGTTCAGCCATTGATTAAGCTTATTGAATTGGGAATGAGCTCCACATTACTTTTTTTTTTTAATCACCTGAGATAGAGTTATAAAGCTTTCATGTTTGAGATTCACCCATATAATGATGGGACACCCATCCCTCCACCAGTGCACATTTTCCACCACCAATATCCTCCCCCACCCCCCAACATCCCAGTCCTCACCCTGCCTCTATAGCAAACAATTTCCCCAATACTCTCTCTCTAATTTGGGGCATTATGTTTTGCTCTAATTTTCCCATCACCATTCAAGCCTACCTGCCAGGGGCAGACACTAGATAATTTATTTTCCATTGCTCACTTTGAATATCATGAGAGCTCGTGTGGCCACGATTGTAAATGTAAATTTCTAGATTGTAAATGGTTGGGTTCCAGAGACATCTCTGTATGGCACTAATCCATTTTGGGATTCAGTTGGGAGTCTCTGGGCCAGGACTGCTGGTGCACTTGGATGGCACCCGAAGGCACATTGTGGGTGTGACAGCCAGTCTGCTAGGCAGTGGGGACCAGGGGAGGGACTGGAGATTTAGTCCTGGAACCCACATACCGGGGGCCTTGCTTGTGGAAGCTCTTGGTCACCAGGATTCCATCTAGAGTAGGCAGGGAGAGCGCACCTGCTCCATCTTGGGTGCCTTGGTGAAACTGGCTCGGTATGGGGCCTGGAGAGATCTCTGGCGCTGTGGTGTCCTCGAGGACTCGCTGCTGTATCTCTGGGCCAGAGCTGTTGGTGCACTAAGATCCATATTACAAAATTTTCAGCAGATTACAGGGTGGCGCTGGAGTTGGTTCATTGGGGTGACTGCCACTGCTTCCATGTATATTGGGAAGTTTTGGGAGGTAGCCCACCCCAACTCTAAGAAAGCGTGGAGATTTTAGTTGCAAAACCTGCATACCAGAATTTTCAGCAGATTATGTCTTGGTGAGGTCTGTCCTGAGATGATGGAGTCAGGCCAGCGGTATGGCGGCAATTTTGGACTGTGGAAACAAGTGTCTGCTAGGGGCTCTGCTTGGGCAGGCCACCAGGCCAACCTGCCCCCCTCCAATTTACCCCAATCTGTTCAGCCATGCTCAGGTCCGAGATTAACTGTGGTTTTTTTTTTTTTTTTATCTCTTTCAAGGTAAGGTAAAGGCCCTCCCGTTGATCGTCGATTTGCTCGAGCGGGCCCAGTAACTGGACCCGCTCGAGCAAATCGACGATCAACGGGAGGGCCTTTACCTTACCTTTACCTATCTCTTTCAAGATTTATCTCTGAGATAAGGCCAATAAATAAGCTGTGCCAGAAGTGGTTTGTCAGTGTTGCTCCCACATACCTAGCTTTTGGCCATTTAATTTCTTGGTAAACTTGGTCCCAAGTTTTTGGGTTCTGGCCAAAGGCACAGCAGCAATTCTGGGGTATCAGGAAGCCTGAAGGCACCATGAGGCTCCTGATGCACTTGCCCCACAGGTACAGGTTGACCTGTTGGGGGCACCATACCCCCAGCCTTTTAAATTTTTACTGTGTAGATTGTTGCCTATACAATAAATTGGCTGGAGCAATAGCATAGCGGGTAGGGCGTTTGCCTTGCACGAGGCCGACACGGGTTGCATTACTCCGTCCCTCTTGGAGAGCCCGGTAATGAGAATACCCTGCCCACACAGCAGAGCCTGGCAAGCTCCCCATGGTGTATTTGATATGCCAAAAACAGTAACAACAAGTCTCAAAATAGAGATATTACTGGTGCCCACTCGAGCAAATCGATGAACGGGAGGGCAGTACTACAGATTGGTTGCCTAATGCAGTATTTCTCAACCACTTGTTTTATCAACCTCCCTAAGGAGGTTGATATATATATATATACGTATATATATATATATTCCCCAACCACCTCCATCCCATGGTATTTTAATATCTCTTATATGTCTGTGTGTGTCACTTTATTATATATATTAAATAGTTCTGGGGAAATAAAAGTCTTACATGTATATATGCAAATATATGATTTTCTTTATATATTTTATACAGTTCTTTATATATATGATCATGTATCCATATATATGTAAGATTTTCTCTCTCCCAAGAACCATTTTCCTCGTTTTTTCAGAAATATTTTCTTCCTTGAGAATGTATGACCCAATGGAACATTATGGGGAAGGCAGGATATAATTTTACTCTTCCCATGAATCTCAAGCCTGTGTGTTCTGTGTTTCTAGCTGCCTGCCGCTCAAGCATCATGTGGTGACCACTCCAACCCTTCTCCTCTGGGGAGAGAAAGATGCATTTATGGAAGTTGAAATGGCTGAAGTCACAAAGATTTTTGTTAAGAACTATTTCAGGCTAACCATTTTGTCAGAAACTAGTCATTGGCTTCAACAAGAGCAACCCGACATAGTGAACAAATTGATATGGACATTTTTAAAAGAAGAAACAAGAAAAAGAAATTGACTTTTCTGTATCATTCATGAGGGGTCTGTAATGAAATATCTAAACAATTTTATTGTAAAATTTAAGAATTATTAGGAAAACTATTTTAATAATGTGCTTTATCATAAATACCTTGAGAAATAGTGTTAAAAAAAGATAAGAATTTGTGAACATGTAACAATACTGATTTTTTTTTTTGGTTGTATTTTGCACAGAAAAGCATCTGCCTTAAAAAGTATCTACTTCTACAAGATGAAAGTTGGGGAAAATGGCCCAATTTTGGTTTCTTTATTTCTTTATCCTGTTAACATAAGGTGCCTTTTACAAATTTATATTAAAGATTAGCTGTGCCATATTAAAAGGCAACCATGCAATGGTACAAATTTTGATTTTTATTGTTCAAAAGTTCTTTTTACTTTTTTTAAACCATTAAAATTATATTATCAAATTTCTTGGGTTTATAATATATTTATTAGCTGGAAGGAAATATGACTAGATTAATAAACATTTTTAAGTGGGCCACAAATGCTACTTGTATTAGAAAGATTAATATGAGATGATGTAAAATTCTCATATGTACATATGTATTGTTAAACATCGCAAAGTAGGGAAAAACCTCCATTGACTATTTGCCTTATTCCTCTAACTAAATTGGTGAGAGCACTTGTAAATATGTAAGACTATGGTTCAGATCCTGGCACCACAAACTAACTTAAAAAAAAAACTAACTAACATATAAATAATCTCTAGGTTAATTTTGGAACCAAGAGATTGCTTAGTGAGATGGAGCATTTTCTTTGCATGCAGAAGTCCCTAATTTCATCTCCTACATTGTCAGGAGGGACCTCCATGGACCCAGCTTGGAGGTAAGCATCCCTGGGTATGGTCTGTAAACCACACAAATAAATTGGTGGGGCTGGAGCAATGGAACAGTGTATAGGGAGTTTTCCTGGCACTCAGCAAACCCGGATTTGATCAATTCCTTGCATCCCATATGGTCCCCCACCCCCTGAGCCTCACCGGGAGTGATCCCTGAGTACAGAGCCAGGCATAAGCCCTGAGCACAGCCAGATGTGGACCTAAAAAATAATTAATAAATTGGTGAGAAATTTAGGAAAAAAATCATTTGCCTCTACCTTGCCAAAAAAAAAAGAGTCAAATACTGTTTTTCCTATGTATAGTAAATTAAAGGTCAAACTTGTTGTATTTTGTTAACTGACATCTAGAATAAGAACCTGATTCATTGTAGGGACTCAAATATTTGATTAAAAATCAATATCTGATACACAACTAAGCATTGGGGGAAATATGAAAGATGTCATTAGAATATGAATTTTTTCCTTTCTATGAATACTCAGTATAAGGGTTTGAATATAAAAATGAGTACAAGGGTCAAAGGGATAGTACAGCGGATAGGGCATTTGCCTTGCACATGGCCAACCTGGGTTTGATCCCCCCGGCATCTCATATGGTTTCCCAAGTACCACTAGGAGTAATTCCTGAGTTCAGAACCAGGAGTAATCCCCTGAGCATCACTGAGTGTCACCCCCAAAGAAAAAAAAAACCAATACCACAAATGGGCTGGAGCCATAGCACAGCTGGTAGGGTGTTTGCTTGCAAGTGGCCAACATGGCCAACCCGAGTTCGATTCCTCTGCCCCTCTCAGAGAGCCCAGCAAGCTACTGAGAGTATCTTGCCCACACGGCAAAGCCTGCCAAACTACCCGTGACGTATTCGATATGCCAAACACAGTAACAATTGTCACAATGGAGACGTTACTGGGTGGCTTGAGCAAATCGATGAACAACGGGAAGACAGTGACAATGACCACAAATAAGAGTGAGAGAAGAGCTGTAGGATAGAAAATGAGACCAACTTAGGGGGAAAAATATATATATATAATGTTGTGCAGGGAACCTGGATTGGCCAAGTGCAAGGCAAGAGCCCTGTCTCCTGTACTATCTTCGCAGCTTTGTATAATGTCTTAAATACAGCATGTGATGCTTGAGCAGCAGGCAGCTAGAAACACTAAAGACATAGATTCAGACTCATGGAAAGATTAAAATAACATCCCCCTCTCCACCCCATAATGTTTCATTTGGCCAAACATTCTCAAGGAAGGTAATATTTCTGAAAAAATAATGAAAATGGTTCTTGGGAGAGACTATATATATATATATATATATATATATATATATATGATACAGTCACATCAGTTGCTCTTCTTTACCGTGGGAGACAACAGTCACATTGCTAAATCCTGGCTTCTCATAATCTACAACTGTGATAATAATAAAATTGAGTTGGTGAAAGGAATATTTTCCTCACTGAGTTTAGTTTGATAATAAGACTGTGGAAGGTTTCTAAGAATTCTCATCATTGTATCCTAGCAACTTGTGTTTACTAATAAGGGCCCATTTGTCTATATACATCATACTTAGGCCTCATAACATTGCAAGGTAAGGAGTATCATTAATTTATCAGTGTGGAAATAAAGTTGACCAGTCCCCTCACAGTGTTAAGTGTTAGAACCAGGATCTTAACTATATCCATGTAGTAGGAAAGCCGTAACCTTTCCATTAGGTGATATTCTTTTAAGAGGCTCTGGTATACACACTATTTTTTCTGTCTTGTTGGTAACCTGGTGTGTTCCAATAAATAGAAATATCTCTCAGAAATCTGCAGTTGGACTTTTAATTCTGGAAAACAATTTAAAAGAGAAAATTAGCAACACGTGGGTATCCTAGTGTAATACTAGGATATACAACTCCCAGAGCTGTAAATAACGTAAGGTATAGAATAAATGTCTGGTTCACATCAGCTTTGATTATGTTTAACTCTTGATCATTATGCGAAAGCCAACAACTAAGGAATGAAGGAACTGGACTTTAGTGACTTATCACCAATAAAGTAATCCTGATTTATTGTTACAAAAACTTATTATTGAGAAAGGTAATTTTTAACATTGTCTTTTTGTTTCCATTTGGAATGCTGGCTGGTACTAGATTAAATTTGATAGTCTGTATTCAATGTGGCATGACTTATTATGAACTATTACAGTGGATGTATTCACATTTTCAAAGGATATGGAAGAGTTATGCCAATAGATATAAAGGATCAAGGGCATCAACAGTTAAATTTCTTAGTATATGGGGCTAGAAAGATAGTACAGTGGGTAGGGCATTTGCCTTGCACACGGCCAACCCAAATTCCATTCCTAGCATCACATTTGTTTCCCCAAGCACTGTAGCACTGTAGCACTGTCCTCCTATTGTTCATCGATTTGCTTGAGCGGGCCTGTAACGTCTCCATTGTGAGACTTCTTGTTACTGTGTTTGGCATATTGAATACCTCACGGGTAGTTTGCCAGGCTTTGCCGTGCGGGCGAGAGACTCTCGGTAGCTTGCCGGGCTCTCCAAGAGTTGTGGAGGAATTGAACCGGGGTTGGCCAGGTGGGCCGCATGCAAGGCAAATGCCCTACCTGCTGTGCTATCACTCCAGCCCCCTCCCCCCAACCCAAGCTCCAAGCACTGCCAGCAGTAATTCCTGCTGAGTACAGAGCCAGGAGTAAGCCCTGAACACAGGTAGGTATGGCCCCCAAAATAAAAATAAATAAATAAATTTCTTAGTATAAGGAGACATGACTCTAGAAATCTATTTGTTGAGAGAAAATGAATTTGACTTAACAGTTGCCAAAGCATCTCAGTCTAAGTCAACTATACTGGTAATGGCATTGAAACAAAAATATGGTGACTAATATTCATCTATTTAAATCACCATGTTCCTAATATGTATAGAATAATGGCTAATTACAAACAGGGAAAAATATATGAAAAGTTTTGATGCCTATATGTGAAAAGGAAAATGTTATAACAAAAAGTTTATCTTGTTGATATATGAAAGTGACACCATTTACATTTTATTTTAAAGGTTATTGTTCCTTTATAACATTATTCCCTATAAATCCACAGCTGCCTTTAAGAGTCCCAATTATGTGCTAACAGCCAGATCACTTGACTATGGGCGAGGAGTGTGCTGCAGGGACCACCAGCAGCCCCTAGTTCTATGCACTTTAATGGGAGGGAGAGTCAGTGAGTGGCCTCATGGCTCATCGGACCTCAGAATTCTACAATCAAAGTGTCAGGTCATCCCTGCACCCACCTGCGGTGGCTAACCCCTTCGTGCAGCAGACGAACCTGAGCATGTGGGACTGGGTCTCCCTCATTCTTGGGGGGACCTTGCTGGTGCCACTGCGTGTATCCTGCATCAGCATCATCATTGTCATCTTCCTCTGGCCACTGCTGACCTTTTCCACAGTGGGCCTCTCCATTCAAAACATCAAGCCCACCAAGAACTGGCGAGTGAAGATGATCCAGCCAGCATTATGGTTCTTCATCCACCTGACTATGTTCCTGGCAGGATTCCTCGTGAAAGTCAAAGGGGTAAAGGCCACCTCGGACGAGGCCCGCATCTTCGTGACAGCACCCCATTCCTCTTTCTTTGATGCCATTGCCTGCTTGAAGGCTGGGATGCCCTCGGTGGTTACTGCCAGCCAGAACATGCGCATCCCCCTGGTGGGGAAGATTCTGCTGTCTTTACAACCCCTGCTTGTGACCCGAGATGACCCCACTTCCAGAAAGCATACCCATGATGAAATCCAAAAGCGAGTGGCCCCTGACAGCAAGTGGCCACAGATCCTGATTTTCCCAGAAGGAGTGTGTACCAACCGCTCCTGCCTGGTCACCTTTAAGCTTGGGGCCTTCTCCCCAGGAGTCCCTGTGCAGCCAGTGCTGCTCAGGTACCCCAACTCCCTGGACACTGTAACTTGGACCTGGCAAGGATTCACTGGATTTCAGGCCTGTATATTGACCCTGTGCCGTCTCTTTACCAGGATAGAGGTGGAATTTATGCCCACTTATGTACCTAGTGACCAAGAAAGAGAAGACCCCATCCTCTTTGCCAATTCGGTGAGAATCATTATGGCAAATGCTCTAGGACTGCCAGTGACAGAACACACTTACGAAGACTGCAAACTGATGATTTCTGCGGGACACCTCCAACTCCCTATGGAAGCCGGCTTGGTGGAATTTACCAAGATTAGCCGTAAATTGAAACTAGATTGGGAAAAAATTCATCAGCATTTGGATGAATATGCTGCCATTGCAGTGGCCTCAAATGGAGGGAAGATACAACTTGAAGAGTTTGCAAACCACTTGAAGCTCCCTGTTTCAGAACCCTTGGCACAACTTTTTGCCCTGTTTGATAGGAATCGTGATGGTTACATAGACTTCAGAGAGTATGTGATTGGTCTTACTGTCCTGTGCAATCCTTCCGACTTTGAAAGGATTCTGAAAATGTCATTTTTCCTTTTTGATCTTGATAAGGATGGCTTCATAACAGAAAAGGAGTTAGGGGTTATACTTCAGGCAGCTTTAGGAGTGCCAGATCTTGACGTTTCTAAACTCTTTAAGGAAATGGCTGGGCAGAACTCGCAGTACTTGTCATACAAGACATTTACAAAATTTATACGGAAGCATCCAGCATTTATCAAGTTATTTACTTTATACTTAGACCTCCAGGCAGCCTGTGTATAATCTTTACCACAACAAAAGGAATAATTACTGTATTAAAATTAAAGTCAGTCCTAGGAATGATGAAGGCATCTTTCAAGTAGAAATCTTTTGAGGGAAAGCACATTGATTTTCATTCAAGTGACCTGGGAGTTTCATTATAAATTATAATGTTATGTGCTTTATTATGCTTTTTCTGCATCCCTAAGAGTAATCCTTTCATTCTGACTAAACACCAATGAAAACTGAAGACTTCACTTGCTTTTGTGTATCTTCTTCACTATCTATACACTTCTGGCACTTTTTGCTCTAACAAAGTTTCACCTAAGAAGGTGACCTTGTTTTCCTATCACTTCATGTCAACATGCAGGATGAATTAACCAAGTAATAAGTAATAAGTCAGTCATATACCACAACAGAAAGAAACAACCTACCTAGATGTGGAAGTGTTTGCAAACTAATAAATATGCCCTTGCTAAACCGACTTCTGTTTGCCCAACTTGGCTGAAACTCCAAAGTGTCTGCAGTCTCTCAGTTCTGATAATAAAGGGACATTTGACAAAGGGAAAAGTGCCTTGATCACTTATGGTAAAAATCTCTTCCTTTCGCAAACTTTACAAAAAAAAAATACCACAGTAGACAGATTTCTGGGACCCTTGCTTGTAAGAGGATAGTGTAAGTGGAAGCCACTGAATCTTAAATTTCATTTGTTTCCTGGCATTTTAGAGTAGGAAGGAGAAAGAATGGATGAAAGTGAGGAGAAGCAATATTTTAAATCTCCACTGTTCAGGCTTCTACAACAAAAATACCAGATACTGTATAGTTTAAACAACTGGTATTTACTTCTTACCCTTTAGGAGGACTGGAAGTCCAAGATAAATGTGCTCACAGATTTGGTATCTGGAAAGATGGTACGTCTTGCTAAGACTTACTCTTGGAGTGCAAGGTGGGAAGGAGTATGTCTCCCTTTGGAGTATCTCTGCTTTTTAAAAGTTGAGGTATCATGACTTACAATGATACTAATATATATTAGTATTTTAGACTTCACTGTGGCACCATAATAGTACCAATTAGATCTCTTCTTGTGCTCCTTCCTCCCCTCCCCACCCCTGCTCCTTATTGGTAGTATCAGTTCTGTTGGTGTACCTCAGGGTCTGTTTTTATTGACCATCACATATTTCCTTGATTTCTTTATACTCTAAATGAGTTCATCATTTATACTTCTACTTATGACTCATTTTGCTAAGCATGACACCCTTCAGTTTTGTCCACATTGTAGTGAACTACAAGATTTCATATGTTCTTATATCTGAATAGCATTCTATTGTGTATATCTACTATAATTTGTCCACTCATTTATTGTTGGATTTGGGTTGTTCCAAGACCTTGGCTATTCTAATTAGTACTACAATAAACATAAGTGTGCAGATATTTTATGAATTGATGATTTTTGGTTTCTTGGGTTAATCAAGGAGTAGATTTTGGTTTTTTGGTTTCAAGGAACAGATTTTTGGTTTCTTGGGTTAATCAAGAATAAACACTGGGTCATATAGCTGTTCTATTTTTAATTTTTTGAGAAGTCTACTTGCTCTTTTTCATAGACTAAATAGGCTAACAGTCCCACCAACAATGAATGAGGGTTCATTTTTCTCCAAATCCCTACCAGCACAAATTGTTTCCAGGTTCTTTATTTATATGTTTATCTAGATAAACATGTAAATTTATGTCACATCAGATATAATACTGGCTCTGCATTCAGGAATCACTCCTGGCAGTGCTCAGGGAATTGAATGTGGTATTGGGGATTGAAACCAGGGCTACACGCAAACACAAGTGCCTTGCCTCCTGTACTATCTCTACTATCTCTTCAGTCTCTTTGTAGACTTTTGGATATAGCTACTTTTAGGTACAGTTTTCACTGGTATTGCTATGGAAATCTGACCAACAAACAAATGCAGGGCACTAGAGAGATTAAAGGAAGATCCAGATTTAACAGATGGGGACTCCATCTGGCTAATGCCAAAATGGGCCAAGCCATGAACACATTTCACACAGAGCTTAAGTATAGGTTACATCAATTCTATGGGAACAATTTTCATCTAACATACACAATCGTTCCTAATCTGGTTGTTAACCTCCATAGTTGGTATGATCAGTGATAGATAAATTAGTTTCTAAGTTCCATATAGACATTTACTAATTGTTTCTGTGACCCTGTTCTGTTCCTGCTCATTAACCTGATGGGACTTGCTCTCTTGCTCTGTTCTTTTAACATCTTTGTGATTTATCACCTATTCATCTTTGCTTAGCTCTTAGAACAGGTCACTCAGATGTCCTGACTATATTTTACTGATTTTGCCTCTAATTTTCCCACTTCAGTATGATACCTAATTGTTGTTTTGATTTGCATTTGCCTGATAATCAGGGATGAACAAATTCCCATGTGCCTATTGTCCATCTATCTTCACTGAGGAAGTGTCTGCTCAGGTTGCCTTCCCATATTTTGATGTGATTGTATTTTTTATTTCTTTTAGTTTTATGAGTGCTTTCTATGGGCTGGAGCGATAGCACAGCGGGTAGGATATTTGCCTTGCAAGCGGCCAACATGGCTGACCCGAGTTCGATTCCTCCACCCCTCTCGGAGAGCCCTGCAAGCTACCGAGAGTATCTCGCCTACACAGCAAAGCCTGGCAAGCTTACTTCGATATGCCAAACACAGTAACAACAAAGTCTCACACTGGAGATGTTACTGGGCCCGCTGGAGAAAATTGATGAATGGGAAGACAGTGACAGTGACAGTGAGTGCTTTCTAAATCTGAATATTAGCCACTTGTCAGGTATGCAAATGTTTTCTCCCATTCAGTAGGGTGTCTTTTTATTATACCCAATGTTTCCCTTGCAGTGAAGTAACTTTTTAACCGGAAGTTGTCCCATTTGTTTTTGCTTTTGTTTTCTTTACCTCTATGGCAAAAGGAAAAATAAAAGTTCAAGCCTAGTTAAGACACAGTTGGCTGCAGGAGTTATGCTGACTCTCACTTGAAGAGCCTGAGAATGGTTAAGGCTGTGCCAATAATTTGAAGACCATTCAGAAATTCTGGTTCCTCTGGCTAAATTGCAAATGGAGATAGTATCTTCTCAGCAGGTGCATATTTAAATGCAGCTCAGTTTTAGAGTAAGAGTCTGTTTCAGCCACAGCTTTTTAAAATCAGTCTGAAAAGTATCAGGAACGGGATGGGGTCCTCCTGCAGGTGGGGAGCCTCCCACAGGGTCATCAGCATTTATAGCTGCACTTTCTCTGTGGGTGGCACGCACATGCCCTCACACTAAGCCCTGGGATAGAGCTAGTCTGAATCAAGAAGCGCATTTTATCCTGAGAGTGCATCCCCTGGCGATGCTGCTGACGCAGTATCAAAGCAAAAACCCAGCTTCTCACACACAGCCAGTGTCCCAGTGGTCCTCACAGTCAACGTGGGATGGCCAGGAGTTCAACCCGTCCCCCTAGAGCTCTCTGCGAAGGTCTTCCCGTTTTCATGTTAGTTTTGTTTGCAAAGCGCGGGAATACAGAGTCTTTCAGGCACTCAGCCGAAATCCGAGAGCCGTTCTAGGCGGCATTCCTTGAGGTAGAAGGATATGGGTGTTTTAAATGCCCCTCGCACTCTTCCCAGGGGACTGGGGAGGCTCAGACACCTGCTCAAATTTCGGGGTTTTTACTTTTATTCGTGAATAAAATATTAGTTATTTCCGCGCCACACCCTTTTGGGCTGGCTTGGTGCTCAAGGGTCACCCAGGGCTGGGCTATCCAACCCGTGTCCCGCAAGAGCCCACCGTGCAGACAAAGCGCACGCCTGCAGCCTACTCCCCAGCCCACAGACCAGCTGCTTTTAACCAACTTCTTTCCCCGCCCATCACACCACCAGTATTTCTTGCCCAAAGCTTTTACCCGAAACTGCAAAGCTGGCGGGTGTGACTCGCCGCAGGGATGATCGTGTGAACCCAGATTTACTTAGGGGGGGGGGGGGTGAACAAAACACAACCAAAACCGTTCCGCGGACACCCGAGGAAGAGGCGCGGCTGTTAATAAAACGTCTATGTAAAGAAATGAGAGGGAGGGAGGGCCAGAGGTAGGACCTACTCCCAAGGGGGACCATCCGCTCCCCAGGCAGTGGGGGGTGGGGGGTGCCGGAGGCGAGGTAAACAGAACTACTGCGTCTGCGCACAACCCGGTCGGGTCACGTGTGCGCCAGGCTCGGGGCGGGCCGTCAGGGACCGTCTGCAAATAGGTTGGAGCAGGCCGCCTGGTCCCTCTCGGGGCGGGCTCGGCGGGAGTCGAACTTTTGCTCGGGAACGCCCCCTTCCAGAGCCGTGGGGGAGAGAGCCAGAGAAAGACCGAGTCCCGGGCCAGCCCCGCAAGGCCCTCCCTCTGCGGGACATGGCCCGCTGCGGGGAGGGCAGCGCGGATGCCGGGGTACTCCCGGGACCCCCGGGAGTGTGCAGTAAGGGGGTGCACAGGAAGGGGCCCTGGGAGCGGCGCTGGCTGAAGGCTCTGCTGTCGGAGCAGCTGTGCCAGGATCTGCTCAGGTAGGAGGCGGCGGGACCCCGGCCGCTTGGCCTGACCTCGGACCCCGGAGCTGGAGCTCCCCATCCTCGCCTCCCTGCTGGCGGGAGCTTCGCGGGCCTCCTCCCTGCAGAGCGGGCTCGCTCGCCCTCTCGGAGCCAATCGGAGCACCGAGCCGGCTCACTGGAAGCTGATTCAGAAGCCCCCCCCCCCCCGCCCCCCCCCCCCCCCACACACACACCCCTCCAGTTCTTAGCCGAGTAGAGTTGAGCGCCACTTAAGTCTCCACTTGTTCCTGCACGGGCGGGTTGGGTGCTGAGTGCTAAGGGCTGGGTGAATTCAGTTTCGGTAATCCAGTAAGACACACAGTTATTGACAAAATTGAACTCAACTTTAAGAACGGTTATAAACACGGATATTTCAAATAAGGAGGGGTGGGGGTGAAGGAACAGATGACTGGAGAGTAGGGTGTCTTCTGAGTTCCCTTTAAAAGATTTATCAGAAGTAATTTTGGAGAAGTATTTCCTGATTACAGCCGGCTTCCCCTTAGAACACTTGATGACTATTCCAGAATTGCCCTGCAGCCTTTAGACTCTAGGTAACT